TATTATTATTATTATTATTATTATTATTATTATTATTATTATTATTATTATTATTATTATTAATATGCTAACTAATCAGTTGCTCTTGTAAATGAGTCCTCGAGGCTCAATGGGATTAACCTGTCTAAATAAAGGTTGAATGAATATTAAGCATGGACCTAAATATACATTTTACAAGCTACACATTTAATTTCCAAAATAAATATTTAATTTGCTAACTAAATATTTACCTCAGACCTAAGTATTTTAACTTACAAGTTAAATATTTAACTTGTTAGCTAAATACTTGCTAACTAAATATTAAGGTCCAAGCTAAATATTTAGTTAGCAAATTAAATATTTAGTTTAGGAATTAAATGTTTAGCTTATAAATTAAATATTTACTAAGTATATTATTAATTTGCACCTAAATATTTAGTTTGCTAAGTAAATATTTATCTTGTAAATTAAATATTTAGTTGGGAACTATGACTTTTATAAATGTATGAATAACATGGTGAAAATAATACTTTGAAAAAAAAACAAAACATTTTTTCTTTATTAAACGCTAAATAAACCAAAATATTGATGTTAATTTTTGACTGCAACTTTACAAATGGCGCCCCATAAAGGCCTAATTACCATAGTATTGACCGCAGAGGCATTTTTTCTTTGTAGAGAAGTAAAGATTTCAAACAATTTCATAGAGGACGACAAAGATAATGTTACTAACACTGACATTTTATCTCTACGTTAATTTATTGTTCTGGATAAAGTTTTACAAGGCGATAGCCTATGCTAGGTTATCTAAATGTTAGCTTGCTAACTTGAGAGACACGTAGCTAATGAGAAGTGGGTTGAAGGATTGAAGAGAATGTATTTATTTTTACAGATCAGTTACAATAAACTTACCTGGCTCTGTTCAGCAAAATATGCTATTTAGTTGCTCCCTGCTTCTTGTGTCTCCTCTCGGCTGTGCTGAGTCAAGTATGTAGCACGGCCAGGACTTGATAGTAGTGTGCATGCACCCTCTGCTGGATACATTGTGCTATTGCACCATTGGCAAGTAAGGACGAGGCTCATTTCCAACTTTTTATGGGTGAAAAGTAGAAGTGTTTCTATGGACTGTGATGGATTTGCGACATGTCCAGGGTGTCCCCCGCCTCTCGCACAGTGAAAGCTGGACATGGACACCAGTGACACCTGCGACCCATAAAGGAAGCATGGATTAAATATAATGGATGGATAGATGGATTATATTCATTGGTGCATAATGGGCCACTTATCACCAATACCAATATGTCCCCCAACACCTTTATCAGCCGTACCAATATATCAAGTATATATACCAAGTATTTGAAATATGATTTTATTTATTCATTTATATATTTTTATTTTAGATGTTACATCCTGACGAATGACAGCGTTCACTGTGAGCGGGAAATCTACGAGTCATCCAGAGCCTGGAAAGACCATAAGAGCTACGTGGACCAAGAGGTGAGTTGATGTTTGTTTAAACTTTGTCCTAAATGTTTTTTTGTAGCGCTGACTGATTTGCGTTTTCTTCTTAGATCGAACAACTTCAAGGCAAAATCAAAAACCTCAGAGAAGTCAAAGGTCATTTGAAGAGGACACGGCCAGACGAGTGCGACTGTGGAAAGAGGTTAGTTGGTTCTATTCCACCCGCCACTGAAAGGCAAAGACGAGCAATAACGCTTTAACACATGTCCGTCTGTTAGCAAAATATCTCAGTGCGGGAATTTCAAAAATACAAAAAATAATTTTAACTGCATCATTTGATAGAAATTTACTTGTGATTTGGCGTGTTAGTAGCTGGGACTAATCCCATCACTTATTCTGAGCATCAATGGATTGTGTAAGATCTTTGTTTAAAATGATACTTTTAACTATTTAGGGTATATTATGTCTGTTAGCAAAATATCTCCTGAATCACTTGGCAGAATTTAAAAAGCTTTCTGGAAATAATCAATATCTACAACTGATTACATTTTGGAGCCAATCAATTTCAAGATGGCTGCCACAGCCAACTGACCTTAGAAACCACCCAAAAGTCTGCAACTCTGTCAATTTTACAGATGTTTAGTAAAAAGATCAGTGTGGTAGTAGCTGAGTCATTCACAACATATCTGAAATTGCACATGATTTTTTTTTCAAGGTTTCACCAAAATGGCTGAAAAATCTTTAATTTCTAAGATAATTTTGATTTAAAACTTGAGTATGAAACTGTAAGGGGTCATTTGCGTTCCTTCTGTCATGAACCAGAGGCCGGATCGCAAACAACAACAACAACCACTGAGAGGGTTAAAAGGTTTATTGTGAACTAAAGTAAAACCCTGGAGTAGGTCCGGTTCTGGGCCGGTTCCGATCT